GGAAGGAGGGAGGGAGGGAAATAAGGAAGGGGAGGAGGGAGGGAGGGAAAATAATGGAGGGGAGGAAGGGGAAGGGAGGGAAAATAAGGAAGGGAAGGAGGGAGGGAGGGAAAAATAAGGAAGGGGAAGGAAGGGGGAGGGGAAATAAGGAAGGGAAAGGGAGGGGGCGGGGAAAATAAGGAAGGGGAAGGAGGGAGGGGAGGGAGGAAGGAGGAGGGGAGGGAAAATAAGGAGAAGGGAAGGGAGGGGAGGGAAGGGAAAGGGAAAGGAGGGAGGGAGGGAAAAAAATAAGGAAGGGGAAGGGAGGGAGGAGGGAAAATAGGAAGGGGAAGGAGGGAGGAGGAATAAGGAATGGAAGAGGGAGGGAGGGGAAAAAGAGGGAAGGAGGGAGGGAAAATAAGGAGGGAAGGGGCGGAAATAATAAGGAAGGGGAGGAGGAGGAGGGAAAATAAGGAGGGGAAGGAGGGAGGGGGAAAATAAGGAAGGGGAGGAGGGAGGAGGGAATAAGGAGGGGAGGAGGGAAGGAGGGGAAGGAAGGGGAAAATAAGGAAGGGAGGGAGGAGGAGGAAAATAAGGAGGGGGAAGAAACTAAGAGAGGGGGGATAAGGAGAGGAAGGAGGGAGGAAAGGGGAAATAGAGGGTTGGGTTAGGTTAGGGGAGTGCGTGGAGGCGAGAGGGAGGGAAGAAAGGGAGAAGCAAAGGGAAGAAGGTAAATAAGGAGGGAGGAGGAAGGGAAAATAAGGAGGGGAAGGAGGAAGGGAGTGCGTAGAGGCGAGAGAGAGGGGGGGGGAAAGGAGGGGAAAGAGGAAATAAAAGAAAGAGGGAAAATAAGGAAGGATAAGGAGAGGAAATAAAGAGGAAAGGAGAAATATAGGATTGGGTTAGGTTAGGGGAGTGCGTGGAGGCGAGAGGCAGGGAGGAAGGGACGGAGGAAAGGAGGAAGGAGAGGAAGGAGGAAAATAAGGAAGGGAGGATAAGGAGAGGAAGGAGGGAGGAAGGAGAATAGAGGGTTGCGGTTAGGTTAGAGGGAGTGCGAGAGGTGAAAGGAGGAGGGAGGGAAGAAGAGAGAGAAAGAGAAAGAAAGAGGAGAAGAGAGAAAATAAAGAAAACAGAAAAAGAGAAGAGAGAAAACTAAAAAAACAAAGAAAGAAAACGACAGAGAAAATTCAATTATCAGAAATATAAATGAATGCGCAGAGTTGGATTAGTTTTCAAATGATTCCTTTCTCCCTTTCTGCAACGCGATGCTGAATGTACCCTTGTTCTTTCCCCTGTTCTTACATTTACCTTTCTCTTTCTATTATCCTATCCCTTATCTTCACTAAATGTTTATTTCCCTTTCATTTATACCTCTGGTTATCCTATTGTCATCATATCATCGTTATTGTTATTGTTATCACTATCATCAATATTATCATTAGTATTATTATCATCAATATCATCCTTAAACCATCTTATCATCATCATTGTCACCATTCTCCTCCTCAGCTTTCTCTCCTCCTCCTCCTCCTCCTTATCACATCCTACCCTCCTATTACCTTCCTCTTCCTCCTCTGCTTCCCCTTTTCAATCCTCCTCTTCCTCCTTTTCATCCTCCTCCCCATCCCCTTCTCCCTCTTTCTCCTCTTCCTCCTACTACTCCCCTTCCCACCGTGGTCCTCCTCCTCCCCCTCACAATCTTCCTCTTCCTCCCCATTTTCCTTTTCATTTCTCCTTCCCTCTCCTAACCTTCCTCAGTCTCTACCTCCATCCTCCCTATTACCATCCACCTCCCCCTCCGCACCCTTTCTCCTCATCATCCCTCTCCTCTTCCTCCATCCTCTTCCACCTCCTCCTCCACAACCCTTTCCCTCCCCCTCCCTCCCCCTCTTCCCTTCCCTTCCTCCTGCACCCCCTCCTGTTCCCCATCCCCTCCTCCCCCTTCCCATCATCCTCCATCCCTTCCCCTCCCCCTCCTCTTACCCCTTCCCCCCTTCCCATCACCATCCTTCTTCCTCCTCCTCCCCCTCTCCAACCGCTCACCTGGAACCCGTTGAGGGCGAAGATGCTCTGAACAGCGTTGAGGATCAGCTGTATGAAGAAGACAAATCCGAGGCCTTTGTTGGTCCCCCAGAAAACTCCAGCGTATCTGAAAAGAGAAAAAAAAGTGTTGTAGATGTATATTTTTTTATTTCATCATTATTATCATTCGTTTCATCATTCGTTATGATTGGCGTAACTTGTCATTTTTCGTTAAAGGAAGGAGGAAAAACTAAGTATTGTTCATGTACATTTTGTTTATCATAATTATCATTCATCATCATTGTTATTAGTGTCATTATCCGTCGTAGGACAGTGAAGGGGGTATTGTAAATCTATATTCTTTCCTCTGTCATTATGGCTCATTGTTATCACTATCATTATTATGATCTTTCATCATAGGAAGGCACGAACATAGAATATGCATAGGCTTACTTTTTTCTTTATCATTATTATTATTAACACGTTATTAGCTTAATAAATACGTATTTTTCGGAATGTCACCTTTCGGTATGTTTATTAAGTTTTATTAATGAGGATAAATTCTCGAACCCCATTCTTTGTTAATAATAAGGAAATGTGGACATATGGAGAGAGAGAAAAAAAAAAATCTATTGTGCTAATGTAATGCACGTACATGCATATATCTAAAGAAAGTGGGGAATTATAAATTCTATGAAATATAAACAACCAAAAAAAGAAAAAGAAAGAAAGAAAAAGACTATATGATCTCGAATGATGAAAATGGAAAGTATCAAAAACACCAAAGAGAGATAAAATTTAAAAATATATATGTTTACTGAAAAAATGAGAGAAGATTTAACAAAATACGGAGCGGAAATTCCATTCAACACATAACCTGTTGCTACACCCCTTTCCATTGAACTTCCCCTTTAAACAGTTCACTCGTCTGTGTCTACACCCTCTCCTTAACCCTACACCCTGCTCTTCCGTAGTCTGAAACCATTCCTTCACACACACTTTCTTTCTCTCTCATACAGACACACTCACACACTTCCTTTTTCTCTCTCTCTCTTACACTAACATACACCCACACACTCTCTCTCTCTCTCACAAACACACTTTCTCTCTTTCTCTCTCACAAACAAACTTTATCTTTCTCTCTCTCACACACACACTCTCTCAAAAACACACTTTATCTTTCTTTCTCTCTCACACACACTCTTCCCTAGGTTCCACAACCCACGTCAACCGCTGCGTGTGAACTACACCTGTAGTACCTTCCCTGTTACTATGTTCTGCAGAGTGCTAATGGAATTCGCCCTGTCTGCTGCACTGTACTAACTGCCTTGGCCCTGTGTACTACATCCTGTTAGCAATCCACGTGACACTGTGTACTGCCTCTCATACCGATGTTTCCGAGTCCATGTTGTGTTTACGAGGAAAGTGGTCGTTAGAACATGGCTATTTCTGTCGTTTGGTAGTTGGCTCATGTGGTCATAAAAAAGCAATTCTGTCACGAGTATGCATTCATCTAGTTTTGTCTTTCTTTCTTTCTACGCTGCCACAATATCGTTATCAGTTTGACAAGAAAGGTAGCATTATCTTAACTACCAAGTTTATAATTATAACAACAAAAAATAGGGAATATTACCATTTTGAAAACTTCTAGGCTTGAAGATACAACTACGACCACTCTCACAAACATAAAGAGAGAAAAAGGGGAAAAACAATATGAGAAGCAAATAAACAAACAAAAATCACGCAAACAATCACAACCGTTAAAAACCGTTACTACCATGAAACTAATCGGACAATCAACTTTTATTTTCTCTTTGTCTTCATTTCTATTCTTATCTCGTATCATCTCTCGCGGAAATCTCGATCACGACGGTCAAAATGTGATAAATCCATTTATCCATCCATCGCCCTATGAAGCTGTAACAAATCCACCTACCCATCTCTCTCCACCTACCATTCCCCTAACTCACCTGCCGGCGTAGATGAGGTGCGCCAGGAGGTAGTTGAGGAAGTGGGGAGAGAAAGGCCCCCAGGGGATCTCTCCCACGTGCCAGTCGTTGTCTGTCAGGTCGTCGCGAAGGTCGTCTCCTGAGAGCTCTGCCGCCTGGAAGGTCACGGAGGTCGAGGCCTCGTAGGGCGCGGCTACCGGTCCTGCAGGAGGGAAAGGAGGAGGTTAAGAACATATATTGTGATCCTACTTTTCTTACTATGTTTCCTGAAGGTTTCTGCCTTTGTCTGTCTCTCTTTCTTCCTCTCCCCCTCTCTCTCTGTCTCTTCGCCTCTCTATCTCCCCCCCCCCCTCTCTCTCTCTAGCAGCACAGTGATAACCTCCAATGGCTGCAATTCCTACAAGTACATACACACACCTCAACGGAACGCCAACACTCGTACAGCTTAAAACACAAACAACCAAAGACCAGCGCATCTGCACACCTACACTTGACAAGGGCAGATTAACGAGGGCCACTAATGATTGCGTCCTTTTGCTGGAGTGGCGGCAAGTTCATTAAAGAGCTGAACTGCTCCTTGTTACTGCAAATACCTCACGATCCCAGGTATGTACCACATAGATACATACGTACACCCACACGCACACACCCACACGCACATACACACCTTCCCAGCCTAAAACCACAACCTTCCTTGCTACTCCTCCACATTCCCACTCCACTCCCGTTCCTCCCCATTTCCACTCCAATCCCCTTCCATTTTTACCCCCCCCCCTACTTCTACTCCCCTTCCCCCCACTTCAAATTCCACTCCCTCCCCTCCCCCCACTTCCATCCCACCTCCCAATACCCCCTTCCTAACCACATCCCCCTCATTCCCACCCTTACCCCTTACCTATTCCTACGCCCCCATCCTACGTAGGATCCCCTAATCACCTTGAGTCGAAGAGTTATCATCCGAGGATCCTGCCAGAGCCGCGATGACGTTGAAGACAGCCAGACGGTCCTTCTGCGGCAGAACGCGGGACAGTTCCGACCACCAGACGGTAC